TAGTTTATGATTTCTTAAATTTTTCTTAGAGTTGATGGTAAAATTAATTTTTTTATGGAAGCAACCATATGTCATGTTCTTGGTGGTCTATAACATCACACTTATATCTAAGTTATATTATTTGGAGTTTTGATGAGGTTTTAGCAAACATTTTAGGTGTAGTTGAACTTAAGGTCAATTTAATGTTTGTCTAGTTCTATAAAACAAAAATACCATAAGATTAAATAATAATATTACAAATACTATAATAATAAACATTTGAAAATGTTGTTTGTAAAACATATTTATACAATAGTTCATTTAGTTTGATGCATCTTTATTCTACAAGTCTAAACTGTAGTCTCTACTCAATAAGTGATATTGGTACTAAGAAAATAAATAAAATAAACATGATAAACATTTTATACTAAACAAGGATATGCATATGTATCTTTGAAATTGAATTAGATGTTTAGTTACAAGTTAAACTTATGTATTTTCTTTGTAAGTTTATGGTAAAATGGATACATATAATAGAAGGTCTCATTAAAGGTGATGATGACAATGAACACCTAATGTTGCTTAAGTTTAATAAATAGTTAAGTTAATTATAAAAAAAATGAAAAGAAAAAATACTCAGTGAAATATGACAAAAGAATTCCTTACCAATGCCAAAAGTAAATGATCATGCCCTACATGACGCTTGAATATTTTAACTATATGTTGGTATGGAGTGGATTGAACTTTTCATTCAACTCATATAAGAATCTACTTACTTTATTAGTGTCATGTAAGTAAGCTTCACTTAGATACATTTAATTAAAAATCAATAAAAACCTATTAGCGAATATTAAGATGAAATAATCTTATACAAAAAAAAAAAAAACTTAGGCCTCATTTGGATAAACATTTTGAGAAGTCTTTGTAGGAAAAATCAGTATAAAAAATGAATAATTTTTTTAGATATATTAAAAATAACTTTGTTTCTTTAGAAGATTTGATAATTTCTCTCATTTAACTTCTCTAAAATTTGAAAAATAAGTTGTTTTTAATTTATTAGAGAAGTTTTATTCATTTTTTATACTAATCTTTTTCTTCTATGAAGATTTCTCTACAACTTCACCCAAATAAGATCATATATGATATTATTTAATATACAGACAAATGGTGGAGGCATTTAATATACATAAATACCTTCGGTCGTAAAGTTCTTAAGAACAATAGTCATACAACATATATACCTACTGCATATTTGAGACAAGCAAGATTTGTTTCACCGTTAGGTATAGGTAACAAAGACTCTTATTCGTGTTGCTACACTACCTCAATTGATACCTTAGCATGATTTTTGAGAAAGGGCCGTAGTGTGTAAAGCATCCCTAACCATTGTATTATAGACTTTCCTCTTAAAACAAGGCGATAAGGTGTTCAAATACAACATACATGAATGGTCACCCTAAAAAAAATTGGCAGTAAAAATTGTTAAGAATCCAAAGTAGGATACAACATAACTCAATAAATATCTCTAAAACAATTATTGATGTTCGATTATCTTTTAACTTTTACATGATATACCTTGTTACGATTTGTAACACCTTCATTTTTGTTGCCCTTGTATAAGAAAAATAAAAATTTTGGTGTAGAGTTTCTCGCTCAAACGAGATAAGTCTAGCTTAAGAAAGATAGAGTTTTCTAAAAGAAGATGTTCTAGAGCATTCTCACTTAAGCGAGACAAATCTCACTCAAGCGAGATAGGATAAAGTTGACCCAACTATCCTCTCTCCCAGGTGAGAAGGGGTCTCGCTCAAGTGAGGAGTCATAAGAAAAAAGAGAGTTCTCTGGACCCATTCTCGCTCAAGCAAGAATGTCTCTGGCCCAGGCGAGATGCTACTCGCTTTGGCGAGAATGCCTCTCACTCAAGTGAGAATAGAAAAAAATTGAGTAGTTTCACTGTTTGGTTTTCTCACTTAGGCAAGGATAGTTTTGTCCAGGCAAAACATTCAGTTCTAAAAACATTTATTTCTCACCCAATAGTTTTCCTTTCTTATTTTCTCTCTGTTCTCTCACATTCTCTTCTTAGAGAAAACTCCTTCATCAAGATCGTTGTACCTCTCCGTTAGCTGTGACCTATCTATTCACTTATCACGATCATGACCTTCTTAGGAGACCGACTTGAGTCACCTTTGAGCGAGTTTCAGGTGTGGAAGCTGCTGCAGACTCTAGAGATCTCTATCTCGAATCAAATGATGATCTCGATTCTGAATATCTTGCTGAGATAGAGGGATGGCATGAGGATGACTAGTATCGTCTTCAGTCTCTTTAGGACTTTTTATATTTTGTATTACGTAAATAATATAGATGAGTCCTAATATATTTTGATATATATTTTGCAAATGTCAACCTCTTGTAAATTTATAAGAACAATTTATATTAATATTTTGTCATGTTTTCTTTTAAATTTGTTTAATTCTCATTACTGGTTAAATTTTTATAAGTTTGAGTAAAGTAGACAAAATGTTTTATATTTTTCCCACATTGTATTCAGCTTACAAATGAGTTTAATTAAATTTTCCTGCTTAACTCCAAAATTATTTTCTTATTATATTAGACAAATTCAGGATGTTACAATTTATGTGTTAATTTATATCGATGACATAAAATAATATGATTCTCTTTACATTTATCATGTAAAAAAATTCATAAAAAATTAAAACATTCACTTCATTTATTCAAATTGTGAAAATATCAAAACACCCAAAAAAGATGAGATATATATGTACCATTCATTATAACTATGGTAGTTAAATTTACACTTGATTAGTAAGAAAATATACATATATTGTCTTTCAATCAAGGAAAAAAGTTTAATATTTATAATTCATAATAAAAATATATATTATGACTTCATTTACATAAGTTTCGTCAAAATAATTGGCGAAAATATTAATTTTTTTATTTTTTAAATAAATTTCGTTATCAGAAACGTGAAATAACTAGATTGCTATATGTGTCAGTATCAGCATAATTTCATAATATGATTAGTAAAATTAAATATTAGTTTCACCATATACAACGCGAAACACTCATATGATAACACATGTCACAATCTAAATAAATTTTACCATTAAAATTGCACAACTTGCAGGAATTTGACACGTGACACAATTTTGGCATATTATACAAATTTACCTTCATTAATTTTAATAACATAATCAAACAAAATCTAATTTAGATTTACACACAAATCATTACTACATTTCAAATTTAAATATTTTTTCTATTTACATACAAATTCAAATTACATCTTAATTAAATAAATTTAAATCACTAATATAATTAAAAAATTTATCATTAGATACCAATTATGATTATATTGAAATAAAAAAATAAACTACTAACATAATACAAAAAAATATTTTTTATATTTACATGTAAATTACTATTAATTTTTTATTAAAAAATTCTAAATTAATAACGTAATTACAATAAAGAATTTTGTTGCATCCTTTTCAAAAAATTAAAAGTTATTTTCTGTGGCCCAAAAAATATCCATGGCACATATTCTTTGACTAAAAAAAATTAACAAAGTCGCATATATGCACGTAATTTGAAAATTTTGAAAAAATAACAAAATTCTTTATTGTAATTACGTTAGTAATTTGGACTTTTTTAATAAAGAATTAATAGTAATTTGTCTGTAAATATATAAATTTTTTTTTGTATTATATTAGTGATTTATTTTTTTTTAATATTAATGTAATCATAATTGATATTTAATGATAAAAATTTTAATTATGTTAATAATATAAATTTATTTAATTAAGATGTAATTTAATAAATAAATAAAATATTTTTTTTAGTATTATGTTAGTAATTTAATTTTTATTTTAAATGTAGTAATGATTTGTATGTAAATCTAAATTAGATTTTGTTTGATTATGTTATTAAAATTAATTAAGATAAATTCGCGTAGTATGCTAAAATTGTGTCACGTGTCAGATTTTTGCAAGTTATGTAATTTTTATGGTAAAATTTATTCAGATTGTGACATGTGTCACCATCTAAAGGTTTCGATGGCAAAATTTATTTAAAAAAGAATAAAAAATTAATATTTTTACCAATCATTTTGGTGAAATTTATGTTAAATTGACTAACACATTCCAAACAAAGAAATAGTTTAAAAATAATAAATTAAGAATTTGTTTTTAATTTTACAATATTGAAATAAAAAGCCAAACATATCTATACTTTAAACGGACTTAAATGAATATTAAAATTTAGAATGTACAAGTTATTTCTTCGAATGGATGGATGCCCCTTAACAATGACTAACTCCTAATAGCCATAATCACAACCTAATACGCAAAAGCTTTAAACTTGAATAAGAAAAAATATTAATTATTTATTCCTCCAATTGGAAGAAGACTTTCCTTATAAATTATAACCTGAGATGAAAAATGTTCTCCACGAATACCAATGTCCTCGATCATCTCGGTACGTAAATCAAACCAGGCTAATTCATAATCTCTCTTCTTGAAGAGAATATTACCCTTCTTCCCAATGCCAAGAGCATTATCAAGACCACCTATAGGACGCTTAGGGCAAAGTAAAGGTCCAATAGTGAAGAGTATAACCCACGATTCCTTGACACCGAGTGACCCAAAAGTGATATATGAAAAGTAGAAGTAGAATCCGAAGAGTTTGATATGCAAGCAATGCACCCTTTTAACACCACCAAGTGTCTTGTCAGACAGGTCCATGGATCGTTGAGGTTAGATAAGGGTGTTGGAAGGTCGTGTTGTAAAGAACTCCTCGTTGCTCAAGTCAAACGACACCAAACACATTTCTAATATTGCAACGTTGTCACCCCATCGACACATTCCATTCAAGTAGACGTGAGCACCAACAGGAGCGAGAGGACATCGAGGCATATCGATATCTCCCACCCCGTGGGGCAATTGGTAAATGTAGATATAATCATCTTATAATCATCGCTAACTTTGTCGTAACGAAGACGGCGGTTAGGTTTGGAGGAAGGACCTTGAATTCACGAGTCTTTGGTTCCACAGTACAATTCGACCATATTGACAGAGACAAAGAATGCCATTAACAGCGGAACCCAAAAAATAGCATTCGCCGTTAACATAAGACAGAGGACAATCTAATTTGACCATGTTCTCATCATAGAACACGCAGTCCAAATCAACGTGCCATGTCTGCTTAAGGAGGAGACATGAATCATAGTGATAAGAAGGCCAATCAGATATGAAACCTTGGCGAAACATCCTCATGAAATAAGGGTTTTCAAATAAAAGTGACCATGACTTGTGTACGCAACTGAATCGCTTGATAGATTTCAGAGGCAGTTTACACAGAATAGAGAAGGCAATATCATCTGGGATATGCACTGCAGCCATGGAATCGTGACGTGACTTTGTGTTTGAAGTGTGTTACAAAGTTTCGAAATAATTTGACCTGTGAACTAAGAAATTCGCGCTATCAGAGGACACGAACAGACCACAGTCAATTCAGCAATAATTTGAAAATTGGATAACGTAGTTATAAGAATACCTACACGAGAATTCTGTAACAGAATCATGATCCTATAAAATCTCCAACAATCTTAAATTTCAAATAAATACAATAGTTAATTAATAAAAAAAAATTAGTAACGAGACTTTTCTTCAAGGAAACTAACACCCGCTAACAAGTTTAGAAAACAATTTTAAATTGAAAATAATAATAAATAATAAAAATAGTAACCGGGTTTATGATTTTTCAAAATAAAAAAAAATCTAGTAGTTGTGTTCAGGAAAACGATTTAAAATTTAAATTTTAAAATAATAATCAATCAAAGAAAATAACAGTAATCAAATATTTATTTTTTTCTTAAATAATTGCAAGATACTTATCCTAAAAAATATGTTAGGAAGTTTAGGCAACAATTAATCTAAAGTTTCAAATAAAAAATCACAATCAAATAATTAAAATTAGTATTTGAATTTTTATTTTTTTTTAAAATAATGAAAGCATCCTGATCCTAAAACTTTTAATAGGAATTTTAGGAAATAATTTTAAATTTTAAATAAAAATCAATTAATATAAAATCATTTTATCTTATGGGTTCTTGCTTTTTCAAAAAATTATGTTTATAAGTTATTATTTGAAAATTAAGGGTTTCTTTACTAGGATCATAAAATAAAATATTTTTTTTCTTATTTTCAATGTATATTCAATTAACATAAATTTTAATCTTTGAGAGAATTTGAATTAAAAATAAGCAAGAATAACAAAATTTATCTAGTTTGTTATTTTGATATGCATTAAATATAAAATAAGAATTATCACTTCTATCTAATTATATTTTAAAAATTCTACTTGCTTAAATGTTAATCTACTAATATTACTTATTAAATAATTAAAATATTAATATAATTTTCAGTGTTATTAAGAATGTTACTGATAGACGATGTCGAGCACCTATCAAAATAATTAAATTTTCTCTAAGAATTTTGCGGTATAAAACTCAACCTAGATCGATTCACACGTACACATATTCAATTAAATTCAAATTTAGATTTTTTTAATAACACGAGTAACAGTTTGGAGGTTTGTAAATCTCATATTAATTAAATTAAAACTATGAATAAAATTAACTTAAATAAAAATAGATTAAGACTTATCAATCCACATAATCTCAAATGCACGTAATTCTGATTGTCTCAGTATCTAAAAGTTTTAATCCGAGTTTAAACAATCACTCAATCTAATTATTAATTCAATCGAATCACTTAAATGAATCAGATTACGAATTAAATCAAATTATCATTTAATCTAGAGGTATCAAAAAGGGCTAAAGCCCTAGGAGAGTCTATAGACCTTTTAACGTTAGTGAGTAAATGCCAAGTATATAAAGCAAACTTCAAAGGAAAGTTTGTAGACAGTTGAGTTAGAGGGCCAGTGAGACAGGACAAAAGGCCTCTAAGATTCCAAAAGAAGCCTTACTCATGTCCAGCTCAATCTCAGGCGAGCTGGATTGCATCTCGCAGAGGTGGTAGCTACAACTCCAATATCCCTCGAGAATCATTGAAGTCTTTCTAATACGGAAGAGCCCACATGATCTGAAACTGCCCATAAACAACTGCCGCATGTGCTCACTGTGGAAAGACGAGGCATCTGACTAGTGCTTGTTGGTTTGCACTCTAAAAGAGCGAAAGTGTTAGCGGGAGCAACAAGCTAGCACCTAAGAACAGTGGTGGATTAAAGTCTAATGTGCAAGGCAAAGTGTTTGCCATGACTGGCTCTGAAGCAGCAAGGTCTAATGATCTTATCTGAGGTAAATGCATCCTGAAAGACAAATTCATTGATATTCTTTTCAATTCTGGTGCTACGCATTCTTTTATTTTCTTGGATTGTGTGCGTTGCCTTGAATTGTCTGTCTCTGCCCTGCCATATGATATTGTAGTATTCACCCCTACAGATAAGCCTGCAATAACCTCGCACATATGTTTAGATTGCTCTATAGTAAATCCATGATATTAATTTCTTGGTAGAACACATCATATAATAACTAATATTAAACACTTCAAAGTGAGAACTCATATTCTAAATTTTGTAGAACTCTCTATTATTAGTAAAGATCTACATTATTGTCACTTAACATAATTTTTCACAACAGGACCACAAAATACGCAAGGATAATATACTTATAAACAAAATCAGACACTATAACATACCCTTTCCTTACAAAAATTAATTTAATATCATGTGAACTAATTAATGGTCCATGTATCAGATATTAAACTGATAAGAATAGATACTACACTTGATCTTAGCCAAAAGGTTGAGAAAGGTATGCTTGAAAAATTCTCTCTACTAGATTTTTATTATTGTTACCTTATCTTATGCTTTACTGACTGGCCAAGGTGGGTCTTAATCTGTAGACATGTTGTTCACTATCAGCTTATATACAACATTAATTGTTTGATTAATGTCCCTATAAACCCAATGGAGATGTAAGGTTGTATTTCCTATCAACTTCTAAAAATCAATGGTAAGCTTTTGGTGTACTTCAGTGTACATCTATTAAAACATTATGTTCTCTTCCTAATTTTCCTTTTGAAGTTTTTCCTATGAAGAGATTATTTGTCTTGCTAATACTACCACTATATTTCTATACCACTGAAGATTTGTTAAATTGGTATGAACCTGCATTTTTTATAGTTTAAGAAAGAATAGCAAATGACCAAGCTAGCATTCTAATGGTTGGTCCCCATTTAACCACGTATTCCTTCAATGTTTTATCATACAATAACAACTTTTAAAGTTGATGTGCTAGATTGTGATTCACTTTGTTCAATTGAAATAGTGTAGTTCTTGCTAACAAAATATCAAACACAATTGTTTCATGATTCAGTGATATTTCTTGCAAGTTCCAATCTTCAAATAAATTTTAGTTTTAATTTGAACAAATAAATCTTCAGATAAGTTCTTTTGATATTTCAATCATTATATTTTCTCTTTCACAAAATATTGTTGCAAGTCAAACACATATATCTCATGCCATATAACAATCACCAAGTATCCAACCCTTTGTTGATTATGCAATTCAAACAATAAGACAATGCTCTAAACATGAATAGTTAATTAAATGAACATGTAAATTTTATTCTACCCTTCTCCAAAAGGAATAAAATATTAGGTAGACATTGTCGCTAGTTCTATTATACCTAAACCAAGATCCATGCTACCTTGAAACATAAATTTAATTTTAGAAAGAAAAGGAAAAAGAGTACCTCAGCTAGAATTGGAAATTTGTTGACAGCTGTCGCGATTGATGAGGAAGAAAGAGGCGGAAAGCAAAAACTAATTTTTGGCTATGAGCACCTCAAAACGGTGTTTACTGTGCACAACTTGATTGCATAATCTTATTAGAAACTAGTAGAGTACGAATAGTGTTTACTGTGCTTTCGCTGTGTAACTTAGGATTTGGAGGATTGGAATTAGAGTTGATTTGGGAGTATTTCTGAGATTGAGATTAGGGTTTTGAAACCATGAATAAAAATTACGAGTGTTTTTAGGGTCAAGACTAACCTATGGGTATTCCCATCCTGACTCATATACTATGGGCTAAATAATTCAGAGCCTAATTAATCTTTTTAATTAATATAAGTGTTGGGCTGGTCCTAGAGCTTTAGCCCTTTTTCACCTCTAAATTAAATGATAATTTAATTTAATTCATAATTCAATTTAATTAAGTTATTTGATTGAATTAATAATTAGATTGTATGATTGTTTAAACTTAGATTAAAACTTTTAAATAATGTGATAATCAAAATTACATGTATTTTAGATTATATGGATTGATAATTTTTAATCTACTTTTGTTCAAGTTGATTTTGTTCATAGCTTTAATTTAATTAATATGAGATTTACAAACCCTCAAATTATTACTTGTATTATTAAAGAACTTAAAATTAAATTTAATTAAATATGTGTATCTGTGAATTGACCTAAATTGAGCTCTATACTGCAAAATTCTTAAAAAAATTAATTATTTTGATAGTGATTCAAAATCCTCTATCAGTAACATTTTTTATAGCAGTCAAAATTATATTAATATTTTAATTATTTAACAAGTAATATTAGTATATTAACATTTAAGCGAGTATAATTTTTAAAATATAATTATATATGAGTGATAAATTCTTATTTTATACTTAATACATATCAAAATAATAAACTAGATAAATTTTGTTATTCTTGCTTATTTTTAATTCAAATTCTCTCGAAAAATAAAATTTATGTTGATTCAATACACATTGAAAATAAGAAAAAATATTTTATTTTATTATTCTAATAAAGAAACCCTTAATTTTCATATAATAACTTATAAACATAATTTTTTGAAAAAACAAGAACCCATGAGATAAAATAATTTTATATTAATTGATTTTTATTTAAACAAAACAGAATCGAATTTTCGCTTAGATGTGTCAATTACGAGGAACATCGACTTGCTATATCATCCATATAGTTCCACTTCAAATGTCTTGGTTCAGTTTGTTTTACAAGAACTAGGCTGACAGAGCAAGCAAGTTCTTCATAATTGACACATCGAGAAGAGGTACCGGTGGATATGATGGACGCACATAATCTGGGTATATCGGAGACAAATCCCCCCATCCTGCCCAACTTTCAGAGAACCGATTAGGATATATCACCTGGTCACTGTTCATTATCAAGATTTGCTCTTGCATTTGATTCAAAACAACCCCAGTATACTCGCAGATAAAAGAACCAGCTTGAATAAGGTCCAAGGACCTGACTCCCCAACTATTTAGCTGAGACCTAAACACTTCGAACCTATTTTTCAGCCCTCTCTGTGTAAGACGATTCCGACAATGCAGAGGACAAGGACAAGAAGGGCCACATTCAGAAATCAAAGGCTTCCCTTTCAGGAGAAGCCCCTGGAGACTATAAGGAAAGTCGCCCCCATTTTTTATAGCACAGAAGCATCCGTCACCACATCCATCCACACAATCGCAACCCGTTAAACTCCCAGATTCAAAAACAAATTAGGGAAAACTTGTCCTCGCAAGATACTCAAAAGAAAGAGGGTCGCTGTTGTCATCAATATCACTGAAGAGCCGAACGAGTGGACCTCTCCTTCTTTTTCGACAAATCATAAGAAAGACAACATCACACTCCAACCCACTCCTAATTTTATTCTTCTCCTTATTCTAGAACTTGGTTTGTCTTTGTGTAACAAGTTTTGTTTTGTTTCAAATGGGTCTGCAATTCACAACCCAAAATCTGCACTCTGCAGTTTGTTGTTTTCCTCCTTCCATGGTTTCTAACTTCTGCTACTTTTTTATTTTTTTTCTGTAATTTTAAAAGTTATTTTGAAATCTTATTTTTATTTTAGTATACATTTTATATAGTCTTGAGATTTATTTATTTTTCTCTAAAATGTTTATTCTATTTATTTTTTATCCAGGGTCAATTGACCGCAGTCAACCCAATTGATCCACACTCTAAACTAGAAATTACTGCAACCCAATTGACCATGACCTTCGTTAATCCTTTATTATCGTTATTGCTATTTTCTCCCCTTGGTAAATTTAAAAAAGTTTTGTAAATTATTTAAAATTTAATTTTTGAAATCCAGTGCCAAGGACTCAAGTCCTATACGCTTTCCCATTACTACTAGGGCTTGAGTCTTCCTTGGACCTACCTAACAATTAAGAAAGGAATCAAGAAAATCATAGGAGTTCCCCACCATTTTAGTCCTTCCCATAGATTCTTCTTCGTTTAATGTACCATCAATAATGCTCCACTAGCATAAATCCATACAAAGCTAAGCTAGCAAGGCATCTTCACCTTTTGGTCTCTTAGGTGAGGCTATTGCTACTTCTTCACCACCCCTACCCCTTATTGCTAGCTAATTTTGTCAATAAAGGATTTGTCAATGATAATCATGAATGCCAAGACAACTAAAATGGTGTAATTGCAAGGAAAAAATGTTTATGAGGTTTAGAATCATAAGTATCTCAATGCAAGATAATCTTACTCAAAACGGGACATTTACAACGTAGTCTATGAATTGATAGGATTTTTTTCATATATATAACTCAAACTCAAGATTATTTAAGACGTGTCAAACATATGCTACTTAAATTATCCACATGTTGGTTCAAGTATATGAGATGATGGTTCTTACTTCCAGAAAGATGGGATAGATAATGGTTGATGAGCATAAAAATAAAATAAAGGACATATTTTATTTTAATTTAAGAAATACGCTTAAGCGCCTACACAATGTCAGGATGTTATTCTTAGGCTTGCTAAAGGGTAACAATAAAAAAACGGTTAAATTTTAAGAAATTGGGTCACCCCAAATTGATGTTGTTCGATTCATTTGGAATCGATCAATTACTTAGACCATGTTAATTAGTAGTCCATAATTCTGAGAAAATCATGTGTTTAAAATTTAGATTTTGCGTGCAACCCAAATTTTCATAATGCAGTTTGATAAAAAGAAAAGAAGAAAAAAAAAATTATAGAATAGTAGTAATGTAAATTTACTAGCCAAGTTTCCGCATATGTAAAAGTTCGTCACTTATCCCTATCCCATAAACCTAATCAAAGTTCATAAGTTTGCATAATGCACGTACACTATAAGAGTTGTGTTCAATATTAATCAAGAACTTCTCATAGAGCAAAAAAACAAAAGAAACTTAGAGTTTGGCGGATAAAAAAACATAAGAAAATAATTAGCACCACGAGAAGAAGGAAATCGAATTTTCGTAATCATTAATCTAAATTTTTTGGGGTCAATTTTGAAATCTCAATTTCGACAGAGTGCGTCGAATAACATGGATCCAAGCAGCATTGGCCCAAGTTTTAAATTATGGGCTTATTATCACCATTGGAAGCAAAGATAGGTTTGTCTTAAACCTTCGAACTATATGGGCCCCAGTCCATCCACTTTTCTTTTGCTTGTAGCTTGGAATTTTTATGTACCGTAAAAATGTCGATAAAGCCTTTTTTCCAAGTCAGAAATCACAAGATTTTTCTAAATTTAAATAACTTTACTGTGTGTAATTTTTCTGGGGTCAGTAGTAATTACAAAACAAAACTCAGTTTAAAGAAAAAAAATCTTACAAAAATAGCTGACACTTTTTTTTAACGAATGTACAACTCATCAATTTTAGTGAAGCAGGCTGAGCATTTAGAATTCACCAACCCACTTAATTTATCTTACTTAACTCACATTTCAAAACCAATTTTATTATTAAAAGGAATAAATTTCCTTTTTATATTTCTTAATCTTTATACACACAAATTTAACAATGACAAAACTAAAATTCTGATATTAATAAATTTAATTAGTTATTTAAGTAAAGACTTTAAATTTTTTATGTTTTTTAATTTTTATTTAATTTACATTTAAAAAATTAATTCGTAAACAAGCCAACCCATCAACTCACCCTAAAGTAGGAAGGGAAAGGTTAATATTTTAGTTACTTTAAAAATGATGAGTTATTAGCCTCCCTTTGTCATCCCTACATATATACAATTTTGGTCAAGGCAAACCTACTTCTACATGTAGTTAATTGTATTAAGCATAAGAGAGGTGCCCTCTTGAATAATATTTTTTAGAGCTTCTATAATACCTACTTTGTTATAGTAAATTTTATAACCTTCGAAAATTTTCTTTATTTTTATTCTAAAAATTAACATAGAAAATAATAAAATAATAAAATATATATAGGTATTACTATGAGAGTACTGAAAAAATAATATAATTAAAATAGGAAAACTTAGGTACATGAGTACTAAAATAAATTTCACCCTCTTAGCAAAGGTTGCTTGGAAGTTTGATTGAGTATCCTCTAATCAACGTAGGCTGTGGGCTAAGTAAACCTTATACAATTGCCTCACTCAGAATGGAAATTTTGTACACACAAACCACCGTAGCCCCCTGAGGGTACACATTTTTAACAAAACATTTTTATCGTTTAATTAATAAAGACTCGTTAGCTCGAATTCTTCAATTAAATTATATTATTTTTCAGAATATTTTAATTAATTAAAATAATTAATTTTGAATGAATTTGATCAAAAAATTAAAATTTTCAAACTTAAACATATTTATGTATATAATTACAAACAGTACCTATTTAGTTAAAATATTAAAAATGTAAATTTTTAAATTATAAAAACATGTACAACTAATTGACTTTATAAATTTAAACTTCAAGTTTTTCCTTTATCACTCTAAAAAAATTGTTCTCCTCTCTCTCTCTTTTAATGACAGAATAATCTCATATTAAAAAATATTTATCTTATATATCCTTCGTAAGAGATAATCTTATTTTATTTATGATGGAATAATTATATTATACTCAGATTTATCAATATAAATATATTAAATATCAAATTATAAGATAATTATTTAAGTACAAATCTGAATCGTGATCCGCTATTCGCAAAAAACTAACACTAAACTCCCATTAATAAAAAGGAGGCCAAACAATAAGTGATTACAAGAAGGTCAAACCATTTTTTTTAAAAATGTTTTCCTTTCTTTATTCTATTATACGAGCCCACTGTACATTTGTGACTTTCTGAATTATGTACGTGCCTGTATTAAATTTGTCATGCATCATTGCACTTGATTTTAAAAAACTAGCAAGATTATACCTTCTTTTTCGGTGCTAATTGCTGAATTTACCCCACTTCAGTAAGTATTGAGTAATAAATTTAACAAAACCAAAGAGCGATGCTAGACGGTACAAAATTTCCTGTTATGAAAAGCAATTAATTCAAAATTATCATAAGGTATTTTAAAATTACTTTCTAACATAATTTTTATTCCTAATTAAATTAATCTACAACTTTAAAAATAAATTTACACACACACACATTGCTTTTATTTTTTATCACATCTTTTTATTATTTTTTTAAGAAATTGGTTTATAAATATATTATTTTTATGTAAGTTGAGTAATAATTGTATATTTTATGATTTCTTTAGAATGTAAATTTGAAACATATTTTTAAGAAATTAATTTAATTAGGAATAAAAATTAAAATCTTTAAAAGAAAACGTTTCTTTGCACACAATTGGCAAAAATAAATACTTTCAATTTTAAACACGATCAAGTTTCTTATCTACCTTCCATAATAAGCCAATTTACTTCCCACCATTCCCGATCATAAAAGAAAATTAACTGTGGAAGAAAACTAGCATTACAATTTACATAGCATGTTCTAGTACAATTAGCACTGATTATTCTGCTACCATATCAGCTAGCAATATCAGTGTCCATTTTATTTCATTTGCATCCCTACATTTCATCTACTTACATAAAATACAGAAAAACGTTCTCAGAAAGCTTAACTTACAATTTTCATATCTTCAACCATTTCTTTTTCATGTTTCTTATAAACTCCTCAGGCATCAGCATGACCATTCTCCTTGGTTTCCTCCTCGAATGGGAAAAAGAATTGCTCATTTCTGTTGAAGATTTCGTCCACCTTCTCCGCAGGGTAGTTAAAGGCCAGCTCCTTCGCAGTCTTGTCCAATGCACTCACAATGTTGTTTTTCCCTGTTAAACAATTTACACTCATTCATCACATTATAACCACCACAAAATTAAAAGAATAAACCAAACTTAGAAGAATAAACAAGGATAAAATTTAATTACAGCTCCTAAAATATTTTTCATATTATATTTTAATCAAAACTAAAATTTCAGTTATACATCATGCACGACCACATTAATTGACCTTATATGTGTATAAAACTCCAATTTTTATTTTGTTTAGAAAACAGCTCCAAATGCAAACAATTCGGATATATTATGAAGATAAGCAAACATCCTAAAGTGGAATCATGCATGAAACACGGAGTTTATTTTATACCCGCAAAAGTAAGCTTGTGGTTCCCTTCAGCATGAACCTCAAAGCAAATAATCTTCAGGTCATTTTTCTTGGAAGCAATGGTCACAAAGGGATGACCAGCAGGGACAACAAAAACCGTTGCAGGCTTCAACTTGGCACTGATCTTATGGTACGAGGGGCTAGTCTTTTGATGCTTTGAACGTGTGTGTGAACTTGAGACATGTGGACATGCCATCTCAAACTTCCCTTCACCGTCAATAACCACTGCTATCTTGGTTGCATGTGAGTTGTAAAGAATAGTAGACATAGATCCCTATACATAAAAGCAGTGCCAAAGGAAAGCAGCAAAAGAATTAGTTGCTTATAAGTAGGGACATACATAAAATATTAGAGAAGGGTAGGGATCATTAAGCTGAGCCTGAGAGGTTAATTAATTGTTCTGGTTACCTTGATGATTTTGGTGAAGGTAATCATAAGATTGAGTCCTTCAAGCTCACTCTTTTTATCAGAAGGACCAACTTCAATGAGACTACCATATTGGTTGGAGAAAATGGGATCCTTGCTGAAAATATTGAATGGAGTCTTCGATTGGATACCAAAGGGCCAAAAGCTTTTCTTGGGGCTCATGGCTTGCACTTCTTCTCCGGATATTGTGAAAATACTTCCCTCATTCTGTTGATCAAAAAGCTTTTCTAACTTCTGCCTTGGTGTCTGTTTTTAGTTTTCAGTAGAAGCAGAAAACAAAACAAAAACAAAATTGATGAAATAGACAATCCAAAAATAAAAAGTAATTATATATGAACATATATAATATAATTTCATGATAAAATTAAAAGGTATACTTTGAGTGCAGCTTCGAGCACTTCCCAGCTGAATGCTGTGAGGACTGATTCTGGGTCTCGCCCTCCAAGGCCAAAAAATTCCTAGACCACCACAATTTCTGTAGATCAGTAACTATGCTTGATTTCCTTACTACATTAGTGAACATGTGGACACAATCATGAATGCTTATTTACTAAATCTGAATCAGTCAATCATAGTTTGTAAAGGGAAATGAAGGGATTAATATTTTCTTTAGAAGTATAAACCTCAAAATGTCCAGGAGTAGAAACTGGTATGTGGAACAAAATAAGAGAGAGCAAGTCGTTCCAATCTCTGTTGACTATGTATACAGGGGTGCCTGCTGGTATCCTCAAGAAATCTCCAGGTTCAAGATTGACTTTTTCTGTTTTATCTTCCATCACCAAGCCAATTGTGGCTCGTCCTAGTAACCCAATAAGAGAATAAGAAAATTTAGAAATTTTATATATAATACAATGAATTAATAACCACCAAAAATATTAATAGGCATGGAAATATAAATAACTGGAAATTTTCAAAAAAAGATATATAAATATTATTTTATACCAACGACGTTGACTAAAACAATCTCGGAATCAAAGTGGCGTGGAGTCACGAAAGCGTGTGATCTGGTTTTTATAAAGGACAAGCGAAAATTTTCAATCCCTTGAAGAAGCTTAGATTTTCTGGTGAACTTCTTTAGAACATCAATTGTGCCTTCCGCTGCATGGATGGTGTCAAAATCTTCTTCTTCAAAAACGTAGGGAATTTCCTCCTCCTCCTCTTCTTTCTCTTCCTCTTTTCCATGATGATGATGATGATGATGTGTTTGTTTTTCCTCCATCTCTTGCTCTTTTTCCTTTTCTTTTTCTCTCTCTCGCTCTTGCTTCGTTTCATAATACTCGTCACACCTTCGCATGCATGTGCGCTTGTCTTCCTCGCTATATTGCTGTTGCTGTCTGCATTGGTGTTTACACGTTTGAAGCTCTGGGTCTGTTTCTTCTTCTTGGCACGTGGCTAAGTTTGAAAACAAGGTTAACACGAGGAAGAAGAAAAGGAAAAAGAAGATGGGTAAGGAAAGCTTAAGTTTCATGGCTATGGTGTGATGAGTTCGGTAGCAGTGTTATTTTGTTGGATATGGAAATGGGTAGTAATGACTGTGTAGTATATATGAAGTAGTAAGGGAAAAATGACGAATATGGCAATTGCATGCATGAGGACATGTGTCAACCTACGCGTCTCGTAATGAATAAGCAAAGACCAGCAATGTCTACGAGGTAGACACACCCCCACTTGCTGTCAGGTAATAAATACAGTAAGGATGAACCTGCGTAAATTTAATTTGAGTCATTAAATATACTTAAAATACGTATATAAATTAATTTAAATTATATATATTTATTAAAACATATGATTTATACTACAAAATTTAAAAACTAATTCTTTAATCGCAAAACAAACAAATTCTTGTGTCAGGCAAAAAATTGATGACTATTGTAATACCTTCTCCAAACTTACGCAGATATCAACATTATATGATGGACAAATTAAACTTTGCTCAAGTTCAATATATTTTTGTCATCAAGTTGTTTAATTAATTAACATATAAATGTTTTTCTAAAACTAAAACACAGATTTGATGGAGATTATTCGATATTGAAAAGAACGTTTACGTTTTTCATTCCATTCAAGAACTTGATGACAAGAATAACAGAAATTCTGATCTAAATTTTATCCTTAAATTTTAGAACTGTTTGATCATATTTATGTATAAATAATACTTTTAAGTTGAAAAGAATGTTTAACAACTTACCATAGTTATGTAATTTAAGAAAAAAATAGACCAAATATTAACTTATTTAATATTTTCAGAAATTTATAAAATAATTTCTTAACAAAATTGATTAAATTACTATTTTTAAAAAAAAAAAAAAACCTTAAATTTTTTATTGGTTTTAATTTTTTAAGTACAATACCCATAAAAATTTGTAGATTACCACAAAATTTAATTGACACGTATTTCTTTTTTATTGATTTAATTTTTTTGGATACAATATCCATAAATTTTTTTTAGGGTACCACAAAATTTACCTTTATTTAATTTTGTTTTTTCAATATTTTTTTGGGACAATGTTCTAAATTTCCAAGCAAATTATATTACCTTGTGGGCTTAAGGGAGGTGGAGCAATGGGCGAAAGGGTTGGGTCATTTGATCCAAGTAGAGCCGGGTCTGACAATAAAATAGTTTTAATAATAATACATGGTTTCCGCCTAAAATTAAACTGTTCCAAATTAAAAGTTTCAACCTAAAAAGTTTATATTTCCCCAAAAATCCCTACAAAATTAGTGTTACAAAAATATATGCAAACGAATTTATTATATTTGTTTATCTGATAAGAATGAAATGAATGGATAGAACATATGAAAAGATCAATTAAATAGGATAAAGTTGTTATTCTATTGTTTAGATATATTTTTATAATGAAATGAAAAGAAAGATTAACTTTAACTTGTATCTTCAAATTAAGGGAAAAAATATATTGAATGGATTGGAATTGAATATATTCTAACAATTTTTATTTATTCTATTTTATTTTAAATAACTGAACCTAATACTCTTCTTTCCTTTTAAAATTTTTGAGGAGTAAAATAATAATGAAAGAAAAAAAGTGTTAGTAAGTGAAAACGCTCTAGCAAAAGCTTCCATAAAATATGGGGCTGGTTAGTGATTCCGATTATCAAATATCAAAACAACATGATTAAAATTTCTTGCAATGTATGAGTTAACTTCTAATTAAGTATTTAAGTTTATTCATTACCTTTATTAGAATAAGTAAAAAATATGTTAAAAGTCGCGCTTATTAAATAGACGAAGAAGCTGGTAGATTAATTCAGATGTGTACGCCATGCCATAAAATCGATTGTTTTCTGATTGAAGAATTACTAACGTGCGTGGAGTGAGGTGAGTGATGATATCGCTTGGAGTGAACTGGGAAAAACCTTTGTGCTGCTATGTAAATGTTATAGTTTCTGCTTATAAACTAACAAATGTTGAAGCGGGCAACTGGCAGCTCTAATTAGCAGCTATTAATTTATGGACATGAAAGAGAGAAACTTTTCTGTCGTGATCAATTTTGAGTTCGTTTACTGCACTTTGGACTCAATTCAAACTTCGACTAGCTTATTCTAGGTTCACGTTTAAGTTATGCATTCATTTTTTATCTGCTTGTTTTGGGCAACATCCATTGAAAAAAGCACGTCCCACCGTTCCAATTTAGAGAAATTTTTTCACCCTATAGTTTCTTAAAGTTGAGAACACTGTTATCAGTAAGAATTATATTCCCTGATCATGGCAACATTTAGCTCTTGCTTATGCAATTTGAGCTTTGGAGTTTGGTCCCAGTGTCTAACTTCTCATATCAAGTGAACCTTCAATCATCTTTATTGGATATTCTTGATGCAAGAATAATAGAAATTTTTATTTTATTAATTTTATTTCCCAAATTTATTGCTATTGCTTCTATTTACTTTTGCAATCTATCTTCCATTTCATTCATCACATCTTCCTTACATGCTTCTTTGTTTAAATGTGTCTTCTGCAGAAATTTTCCACAGATGATTAGTTTTTGTTAGAACCAGTAGTGATTTTAAAACTCGTGCAAGCTAATGCTTCTACCCATTGAATGAGAATTTTGTATATTGGTTCAGTATTCTCTATAAATATCCATATCACAGATTACTATTTTGGAATAAATAAATGGAGTTCACGAGATACAGTGTTTCTGTTTTGGTCATGCAGAGTGAAACTAGCTCCTATAACCTATTAGTCACATACTTATTATATATTGATAATAATGATAATAACAACATTTAATGATTATAGATAACGGGTGTTTTTTACACCCTTTTGAATTTTATCCATTTCAAATTATTAAGATTATCTTGAAAGAATTTCAGAACTCTGGATAGTGGATATTATCAGCAGAATTTTTCCTCCTATGTGGCCTCCTCTTCTAACATGGGTGAAGTTGATGTGTTGTTTATTATTTCCAAAATGATATCTTGCATTGGATTCGTTCATGCTCATAATTGCCCTTAAAGCCTTCTTATCTCTTGAGGTGGTGATTCAAAGGTGAGCAATTAAAATCACCTTTCACAACTCAGCCCCTGTACTTATTTTCTTTTTGTTATTAGTCACTTAGACAGTGCAACTACTATTAATTAGTTAACTTTTTTATTTGATTTAAAGTCGGTGAGGTAAGTAGCAACAATTTTAGTTTCTTTATCTTAGTGTTAGTTTTGATTTTTGCATATAATTTCTTAATGTTCCATTTAGTTGCATTTATTGCATTGTGCATCTGGCCTTTTCTAACATTTGAAAGCAAGATGACCATTTTTTTCACAATGATGACATGGAGGACAAAATTTCTTCTTATTGTATCTTATACTTTCATGATGCGTGATATGTAAAGCTCCCTCAATAACACCTTCTTGTCTCATTGCATGCCTTTGCTCTTGTACTTGTAAGGCATTTAAGAGTTCTACCAATATGATTTTGGACAAGTATTTGGTATTCTCTAAGGTGGTGATTGTAGCCTCGAATCTTTCAGGTACTATTACAAGAATTTTTTCAACAATTCTAGAATTAAGAAAATATGTACCTAGTAATTTACCTTGTTGGCTATACCAAGCAGTCTATCTAAGTATATTTTGATTGTCTCAGACTTTTTTAGTTTTTGGTGTTTAAATTCTCTCATCAAATTCAACACTTGTATATCTCGAATTCTTTCATTCTCGGTATATTCTTTCTTAAGATAATTCCAAATTGTCTTTACTGTTTTTAAAGTCATGATTCTGGTGAAGATAGTTGTTGAAACACCAGCAAAAAGACATGATTTTGACTTTGGCTTTCATGTTTTTCTCTCCTTGTGACTTCTTATTTAGGCTATGGTAGGATCATGCGACAGCAGAAGAACTTCGTAATCCTCTTCAATAGCTTGCCAAAGATCTTAAGCCTCTAGGTAAGTTTCCATTTTGATAGCCCAAATATCATAATTTTCTCCATCAAAGACAGGCAGAGCAACTTGTGAGAAATTTAATTCAGCATCCATTTTCACATGTTCGTAAGAAAATAGCTCTTGATACCACGTTGTTGGTTTTATGGTAAAAAATTAAAATAAAGTAAAGAAAAGGAAATGTGTAGAAATGTGAGAAGAATGAATGGAGAAAGAACTCAACTTTTATTCAATAGCAACAATGCATTTATAATAAGTTAAAGAAAGTTAAACTAATTGCGTAACTGAAAGATTTGATAACAAACTAAATTATTCCTAAAATATCGAAACAACTTATTAACTATGATATTAATCTAATAAACTGAAATAACAGAAAACAACTGACAACAATTTCAAAAGCATATTGTTAACAATATCAATTTGGCATATTATTGCCAACAGGTTAGTGCATACAGAAACCATAGATCTGATACATATAAACTAGCAATAGGTTTCCCTTGATGTTAATTTACATGAAGGCATCCAAGTTGGTCTTGGTTTGAAATTGGGCTATGACATTTTATTAGAAAGAGAGAATTAAGAATTGGGAAAAGGGTTTGCCTAAGCATGAGTCAGTTTGAAGCTGTTCCACAGTGTTGATTTTTTTAAGTGTCTCCTAATTATTTTTGTTCTTGTTACAGTAGTTATCCGAAGGAGCATTAGAACCTCTCTCATCTTCTAAGTAACGTGAAATTTTGCATTAGGCATTGATTTTTTCAACCTTTCTTTTTTTTATTTAAAGGAAAGGATGAGGGTTATAGGTTCTTACCAGGATCCTACCCTAAGAAAGCACTTAAATGCTTGGAAAGAGATTATTATAAGCATATCATCCAATCTACCTTTAGAAATTTGGTTTACCTTAAGTAAACTGGTTTTGTTAAAATATGATTTAAATGCTTATGGATTATGGAAGAATAACATTTTGGTACCTTAACCTTTCGTTTAATATCATTTTTACACCATATTTTAGTTCCTACGTTGACCACCTGTTATTAGAAAAAACAGAGTGCATTTACTAGTACATGTTGAATCAAAGGAGTAAAAAAAAGAGCTCTCTGATAAACAG